GTATCTACTGGCTACTCTCTCTCAAAATGAAACAATTAGTATCCCAACTTTTATGATTCTGACAGAGCACTAAAAAGTAATCTTCTATGTTTCTTTCCTATTTTTATAATTTTTAAAACTACTCTATGATTGTTGGAGACAGCTGAAATGCAAGCCACTCAACTACATCAACAAAAAAATTGGTCTTTAACGACTACACAAAGCAACCTGGTTCATCCTATCAGAGAACAAGATGTAGTAGTTATTTTGTTTGCTAATTTTAGCATTGTCAAAACCAAAATAACCAAATCTATAGCTTTCATTGGCCCCAGAAATACAAATAGGATCATTCTCCTACTTAGCTTCAAGATGAGACAATTAGTAAAAGCCTATAAAGCCAGGTACAATCATCTGGCTAAAAACTATATTGCATTTACTTTACAACAAAAAGCTGAAGTAAACTTATGAATAGCTGAAAGTTACTGTTCACATAGGGTTTTCATTAATAGTTACAATAAGATTTCTTATAACAAATAAAAAGTTAAAAAAATTTTCAAAAATGTTTTCAATTTTGCCCTCAGAGAATGTGTGGACCTTTTACAGAGCCAAACAACCCCAAGGGCAAAAGGAACTTTGAAGGAAACAAAATAAATCCCCTCCCTAATGGCACAATGAAATTTAAACAATCCTAGACAGAAGAGCTTTATTATTAAGTTTCCCCCACATATTCCCTTACACATCTTAAGAACATATACACTATACATACATTAATACAAACAGTTCTGCTACAGAATCCAAGACAAATAATTGTAGCAAACAAATTTTAATATTAGAAAATTCATAAAGTAATTCTACTTAAGTTCTTAAATAACAGTTTAAAGGTAACAAAATCAAATACAAGCATTAATAAATCATACCTCAAGCACTTCAATAAAGGTGGTCTAAAAGCCTTCTATTAGCAAAAGAAATGTTCACCAAAACTGAAGAGCCTTTTCACATCAATAAAAACTTTTCACATCAACAGAAATCTTTTTATTTTTTTTTTTAAAAAAACAGGAAGTAGGAATACTAGTACTACTGAATTTTATAAGGCTGGAATTTTATAAGTAAAAAAGTCTAACAGGATGATACATGTGCCAATTCCAAAGCCAACATAACATCCTTGAAGGTAATTATAGTTCCAGCAACAAGTATTAAATGTTTTTCCTGAATTTGTACTAAACTGGGAAACAGTGAGCATATAACCACACACCGTCAAAAGTGCTTAACAATAATTAGAACTACTGCACTGACAGGAGCACCAGTGTAAATAATTTCAACAATGCATACATAAAACAAAACTGTAAAAGCTTTAAAACATTTAGAATACAACAACAGAACAGTGTAAACCTAAGGGATAACACAACACAATGTAAATAATTCAGATGTACACCAATACCAAGCAATTCAAAAGATCTCAGTATTAAGGAGTTGTTAAAATGGAAAGATTCCCAGTAGCAGTGTTGAGGTCTTCAGGCAGAGTAACATGATAAATTAAAAATTTATGGGTGAACAGCAGAACACCTATTCTAAACTTTATGTATTACTATATTAAATTTAAAATATTAGGTAGAAAATATTAAAATAAAATGAGAAATATAATGAAAAACTGTACTACAGGAAGAGTCTAGAGTTACTGGAAAACATATCAATATCACACAAACTTGTGAACTTACTCTAGGGAATGGTTAGGGAAAGCCTTACTGCTCCATGTATGACTGATTTACCTTTAACCTAATTTTAGCTTACAGAACAGCTAATATGCCACAAAGTTTATAGTAATATATGCTTTATGAAAGAAAAACTACATGTTTTTATATGTTAACATAAAGCCACAGTAATTTCCAAGAATAGAAAATTACAGAAAGTTACTATAGTCTTTCAGCTACTTCAACTATAGATCCTGCTCTGTCCAACAGAAATATACTGCAAGCCACATGTGATTTTAAATCTTCAAGTAGCCATTTTTAATTTAAAAAAGAGAACAAAGAAAACAGGTAAAATTAATTTTAATAAATTTAACCAAAAATATCACTTCAACACATAATCAGCATAAAAAACTGATGAAATATTTTATCTCTTTTTCATACTGATTCTTCAAAATCTAATGTGCATTATTTTACAGCACATCTCAATTAGGACCAGACTCATTTCAAGTGATCAATAGTTTTATGTGGCTACTGGTCTCTGTACTGGACAGCAGAGTTCTAGAGTTCTTTCTCTGGTTTTGAGACACATGCACAAAATAGGAGCTGAAATGGGAGCAAACAATTTATTAGATTTGAAGGACTAGAAGGGACACTGGGAAAGGTCAATGTAGCCTTCCCCCTTGAATCCAACAGGCCTAAGGTGACATGTCCCAATTTGCCAGGCAATTCCTATTTGCTAAGGAGAGTCCCAATTTATACCTGTTGTCATGATGTAATTATTAACAGTGCTCCCTGTAATTCTCAAAAGTGTCCCACATTAGATGATAAATTATATGGTCACCTTACCTATATCCATAATATCCTCAAAGAAAACTCCACACTCCTTGAAAGAGTATTTAGTATATATTCTAATTCTGATGCCTGGAAAAGAAGCTCTAAATTCAAAGGAAAGAACCCTAAATTTACTACCCTCATCATTCCAAAAAAAAAAAAAAAAAAAAAAGGCTGCTTAAAATTCTTTTTATTTTAAATTGCAGACTAAAAAAAAAAAAAAAAGTAAGAATTACCTGTTGAACAAGGCATCTGGAAATTGGGATCATTGCTATCCAAAACAGGCAAACAGAACTGGTTACTTGCAGATCCTAGCATAGGATCCTTATCGCTGAGCATGTTCTTCAGCGAGTCCTCTAAGACATTTTGACTTGCACTAAAATCCTCACAGACTTCATTCTCCAGGTTGGATCCTAGAAATAGGGCATCATCTAAGTGTTCAGTAGGAATTAAATGATTAAATGTATCAACTATATCCATGAAGACTTCTGTGTGTCTTTCAGCCCTATAGAAAGACAAAAAAAATACCATAAGAAATAAAGCTATCAATTGAAAATCACCTAATACCAAATTATTTTAATAGTTTTGAGTCTAAGAACACACTTAAGGTATTTCCGATTTGTTGTTTCAAAAAAAAAATCCTCAATGTTTTTAGAATATACAATTGGAAATGTAGAACGAATCTTTACTAAATGTTTCTTCATCATGCATGTAGAGTATTTTACCAGAAATCCTATTGTTTACTCAATCCATTATTTTTAAGAAAAAAATTATGTATAATTTGACACATTTGAAAAAGTTACATGGCTTAAACCATAAAAACCATATGTTTTTTTAACCATAACCTTTTCATAAATTAAGAATTAGACAGTCCATGTTAAAAGAGCTAAAATCAAATTGTTTAAATTACTGTCCCATACCTATTAAAATTGTAAAGTAGCCTTGTTTTGTTTACAAAGCATTTAGATTGTTTAAAGAAAGGTGATACATATAAACAAAAAACTTTTTTTGTGAGGGTAGGGGAGGAAAATGGAAAAAAACTGTTAACTAAACCCAACAAATCAAAGCTCAAAAAACTACACACGCATGCAAAGATGTGCACATACACACATTTTTTCCTAGGGTCCCCCCTTTAGAAGACAACAAGATAAATGACAAGAAAACAATGTATATGATGTATTTAAATTTATTTTAGTAAGTTATATGTGGTCTATACATATATCAAGTTAGTCACCTACTTGAACTGCACCTACATATTACGTATTGCTGGGCAAAAGTCATTTCAAGCTCTAAAAGAGCCTCAATTATCAAAAGTTGAATAATTTTCAACATTGATGTTAGAGAAAATTGTAGCAACATATTTTGGAGGAGGGGAAGTTAACAACAACAACAAAAAATTAATATTCCGTTAACCAGAAAATTCCACTGATTAACCCAGACCATCCTGGGCTCCACAATTCCAAGGACTTTTTAGATTAGCTCCAAATTTACCAAAATTTTCCCAAATTGGTCTTGAATTCTTCCCCCTATAAAATGAGAAGAGGAAGTTCAGAGATATTCTAACATTTACTGGGTATATATTATATGCCATCCAATAAATAGAATCTATTATTATCCTTGTCTTACAAAGAAAATGAACTTAAATAAGTTAAATGTCTTCCCCCACAAAGTCAAAAAACAGAGCCAAAATTCAAACCTAGGTTTCAAGTTCCACAGCCAATGCCCTTAAGTATTACCCTTCCAGGGTGAGCTAAGGAGCTAGGAAGATGTGACTCTTTAAACAATTTTCCTACAAATCAGTGGTTGCCTGGGACTGCAGATAAAGGAAGGACGGACTGCAAAGGGACAACCAGATACTTTGGGCGATGATGGAAATGTCCTAAATCCTGGTTGTGATACTGGTTTCATGAATCTGTTAGTTTTTAATGGACTCAGTTTATTGTACCTCAATTTAAAAAAAGAAAAAAAAAAGCAAAGAAAATTTCCTTACTCTGAGAAAAGTTAATCCCCTTCTAAGAAGAGGATTTACAGTACTGCTTTTCAAATTTTGCTATTTATTTACATTGAGATATTAATAAAGCACCAAAATAAAATGTTAACATTTTACTGACTTGCTGCTTATTTTACATGCATTCGCTAAATTAACAGAAAATTGTAGCTAGCAATACCAATAAAAACTCAAGAAAAGTCCCCTTAAGAATTCCCTACATTTTGATCTCAGTATCTAAGAAAGGCTCAATAATCATACATCACCAATATTTCTGGTAATATGTTTTTAGGGTCCAAATAAATTTTAGTATGTTAAATTCTGGTAATTAAAAATAATTTACAAAAAAATTTACTAAATGTTTACAAAATTAAGTAGACTAAAACTACCAATGAATTCATTTATCTGAATGTGCTGGAATCCAAAGTTTACCACAGGCCAAAGCTATCTCCTCTTCAAAAAGCTGCATCCTAATAAGTAATCTTTTTTTCTCAGATGAATCAAAAAGAAAAAATGGCCATTTCAACTCAAGAAACAAATGGCTAACTTCCCTTCAAAAAATAGTATGCTGACTCTACTGAAAATGCACTCATTGCCACAGCAATACGAGGCTAGCAAATTCTGCAAACTTTGCTTGGGGTCTTTCTGTTGCACTAACTGTATGCTGTGCTCTTTCAAGTGACAGGGACATTCAGAACATTCAGACGTTATGGTCACACAGCTTAAGATCATATAGCTATAAAGAAGACCAGTTCATTCTAACTAGTCATCTAAATGAGCAACTTTTTTCTTTTTTTACATTTTATTTTAAATAAAAAATTTTTAGATTAGACTAGGCCCAAGATTTTTTTTTTCAGTAATACTGCTGTTAGTGAAACCATACCAAAGCTTTACTAAAAATGCCTTCAGGGCATGTGGCATACTTTTTAAAGATCAATTTTTTTAAAGTAGAGCATATTGTAAATAAAATGGGTGAATCCAACTTTCCAGTCCTGTTTTTTAATCAAAACTAGTATGGGCCGGGCACGGTGGCTCACGCCTGTAATCCTAGCACTCTGAGAGGCAGA